AAGTTTTATTAATAACTTACTAACTAGTATATTTTCTTGTTTAGGTGCAAGGGGACCGAAGTTGTGAACTGATAGCTTCCCGAGGGCGTGAAGCGGACAGGTTGGCCGACTATAATCACCCCGTATGAAGCACATTCGGATCTCCCAGTATACGACAAGAAAACAGGATTGTCATTATGACACATTGACGTTTTGTGGCGTTGTCATTGAGCGTTGTTCTGGTTCTGATAGAATTCTTGTTAAATATACCCAGTTTGGTCATTCCCGATAATAAATTGTTTATTCGAAGCCTACGAGTTAATCATAGTTTACATTACAGATCACGGTACGCAGTTTACATCGGAGAAGTAGAAAATATCCTAGACTTCGGTGGGGGTTAAAGTGGTTCATTCATCGGTAAGGCACCCCCAAAGTAACCCGGTAGAACGGGTGATGAGGGAAATTGATCGCCTCTGCCGGACGTATTGTAATGAGCAACATAAGCGATGGGCTTATGAGCTATCAAATTTCACGCTATTTATTAACTCCTTGGTACACGAATCCACGGGTTTTAGTCCCAGCGAGTTACAGCTTGCTTCGGAGAGCCTTCGGTTACTTCCCGAAGAGTTGAGGGGTCCCCAACCCCACTGTCCGGTGGTATCCCCACTATCCCCCGAAAAGAAAATGATTTTGGCGCGCGAATCACTCCTTAGCAAGGCAGCGCGGCCATCCGCCTCTCGGACTAACCCGTGCGAGAAGTTCAAAGAGGGCGATTTAGTATTACTAAAAGCTAATCCGGTATCCTCGGCAATAAAATCGGAAACGAAAAAATTTCTTCTGATCTTCGAGGGGCCTCACGAAATAAAAAAAATCGATAAGCTTGGCTACTTACATACTGGTGGATCCCAGTACCCATAAAGAGCGTGGTTCGTTTCATTCTAGCCACTTGAAAAAATATTATCATCAGGTTGAAACTTCCGATACTTGAATAATAAGTTAGATGAAAATAATGATCATCATGCATCGTAAGCTAAGGGGGGCGAGATGTAACAGAATCCTACGAGCTGTAGAATCATATAGGTACTTTGGCTATTTGGGTACTTTATACGCAACCCACAGAAACCTACTTCTTATTATTAATCGCTAATAATTCGTCAATATGAGCAGAACTAGATGGCGCGAGCAGTACCATTTTATTCCGAATATTGAACATTATTTACTCCCAAGTGTTCCTGGTATTAGGTGAGTAAAGAGTTTTCGATTATAGATTAGCCAATCGAGGAAATGTGCAATTGTGCATGTAGCGTTAAGTATGGCAAAGGCCGAATATTCACGTGTTAAACCATGGTATTAGTTTTTAGTCTGTGTCTTCTACAAGCTCTGGCGCCCCCTTCTTACATAATAAACGGCATTCTACGAAGAAACACTCTTGAAGAACCACATTTATTTACTCATCCCCTGAGAAAAGTCCCCTTCCGGTACACTGCTTAGCTGCTTCCGGGTCAGAAAGATAGGTGATTATGTGGAGAATCATGCTTTCAGGAAATAATTCCTTGCCAAATCGAATGGTAGACTCCACACGAAAAATACAGATTTTTCGAAAATATTTTTATTCAATACTTTTGCAATAAACTGCTTAGCTGCTTTTGGGTCAGGGAGGTAGGTAATCACGTGTAGAATCATGCTATCAGAGAATAATTCCTTGCGAAATCGTATGGTAGACTCCACACAAAAAAAAACAGATTCTTCAAAATTATTATTTTTTTCGACACTTTTGCAAAAAACTGCTCAGCTGCTTTCGGGTCAGTGAGATAGGTAATCATGTGTAGCATTATGCTATCAGGAAATTATTCCTCGCGGAATCGTATGGTAGACTCCACACGGCAAAAACAGATTTTTCGAAAATATGTTTTTCGATCCTTTTGCAAAGAACTGCTCAGCAGCTTTCGGGTCAGAGGTAGGTATAATCATGTGAAGTATCATGCTATCAGAAAATAATTCCTTGCGAAATCGTATGGTAGACTCCACACGAAAAAAACAGATTTCTCGAAAATATTTTTTTTCGATACTTTTGCAAAATACTGCTCAGCTGCTTCCGGGTCAGGAAGATAGGTATTCATGTGTAGAATCATGCTATCAGAGAATTTTTCTTCTTCAATACTTTTGCAAAAAACTGCTTAGCTGCTTTCGGGTCAGGAAAATAGATAATCATGTGCAGAATCGTATGGTAGACTCCACACGCAAAAAACAGACTTTTCAAAAAAAAAAAATTTTCAATACTTTTGCAAGAAACTGCTCAGCTGCTTTCGTGTCAGTGAGATAGGTAATTATGTGTAGAATCATGATATCAGAAAATAATTCCTTGTGAAATCGTATGGTAGACTCTACACGAAAAAAAAAAGATTTTTCGAAATATTTTTGTTTTATTTTGCAAAAAAACTACTCAGCTGCTTTCGAGTCAGGAAGATAGATAATCATGTTCAGAAACATGCTATCAGAAAATAATTCCTTGTCAAATCGAATGTTAGACTCCACGCGAAAAAAACAGATTTTTCGAACATATTTTTTTTTTACTTTTGTCTACCATACGATTTCGCAAGGAATCATTTTCTGATAGCATGTTTCTACACATGATTACCTATCTTTCTGACCCGAAAGCAGCTCAGCAGTCTTTTGCAAAATTATCAAAAAAAAATTTTTTTCGAAGAATGTGTTTTTTTCGTGTGGAGTCCACCCATACGATTCCGCAAGGAATATTTTTCTGATAGCATGATTCTTTACATGATTACCTATCTCCCTGACTCGAAAGCAGCAGAGCAGTTATTTTTTGCAAAAGTATCGAATATAAAATATTCTTGAAATTTCAAATTCTTTCATACCTATGATTTGGTGAGGAATGATTATTCTCTAGAGAATGATTCGAGACCCAAAAGCAACTGTGCAGTGTTTTCATAATGCTTATTATTGTTTTTTTCAAGTGGGCTGCTCTAGGGCACTTAATATCAATTATGATAATGCGAGGGGTTAGATATTTATCGCCGAGCTTAACTACATACATCGCATCATATCATCGCAATGTCTTCCCCATCTGTCCTTGTCTTCAGTGTTCCAACATAAAATAATGAAAATATTATGTTGGCATCATTGGAAATGGGAAAAAATGGAGAAGAATATCATATTAACCTCGATATAAAAGAAGGTTAGAACGGTCTTCTTCTCCATTTCTTCTCATTTCCAGTGTTGGCAACACAAGCGGGGAAACGTGTGCCACTGGTCAATCGGGAAAGTTCGGAAATTCTAGCAGCCAGCTGTGGCAGCTCACTTCACGTAGGTGCGTCTAACCATAGCATGCCATCAGAAGCGTCTAGAGACAGGGCGCAACAAATAATACATCCATGTGGTAAATAAATAACCATTTAGAGTCCCTTGATGGAAATTGACGTTAAAGTCATCTTAAACCCTAGAGAGAGATGTATAACTTGCTGAAGTTGATTTTTCCCCATAGTTGTCTCTGTTCATGGCATGATGTGAACAGAGAGTCATAGAAAAAAATCAAGTTTAGCAGGTAAAGGTAGAGCAAACACAACGGACAACGAACAGGCCTTACTACATATATCAAAGGTAGCATATATCCATATCTACTACCATATATCTACTACTAATATATGAAGCATAGCTGTCCTCAAAGCGGGGCCAACTTCTGTCTCTATAGGTAACAAAATAGACAAATAGGCGTTGATGCCGACGAAGGAAAAAAATGATACGAAACTTGTCAAACCAATATAGGAGCTCATTCATATATATGAATGAACTCCTTATTACGGTTGAGTGGAAGAGCAATTTGCGATCTAATCGGGGAATTGAACTTTGCAGTTTGAGCATTGTCGATCTAAATGAAAACCTAGTAGGCGACCTAGTGCGAGGTGATGGTATAATATTGTCTGTTCATTCAATTAAAATATGTCTGTCTGTCAAGTGGCGGCAGTGGCGCTGATGACGAGGAATTGGAAAGAGCTCATTTGTTTATGTCAAAATAGACCATATCAGGTTGATATTCTCTAAAAACTATTTTCTCCAATATGTACTGAACCACAGACGTGCTTTCCATCACTGACGTGATATTTGATACGAAGGCGATGAAGAAGATTCTTTCATGAGATTGAGATGTCGTAATCATAAAATCATTATCTGACAGTTGTCATTACAACTTATTACTTCGTCTAGCTAGAATGTTTATTTGTAATGTTGAACCCAGATTTGAAAAATATGATGAATTAGTTAATAACCAATTTTTGAAAAATTATTATTTCAATTTATTTTATGTATGAGTCTACAACCTATTCCAATTAGCATTTACTGCGTCTCATGTTTTTTTTTTTTCATGTATATGGACCGCATCACACCATGGGCATCCAGTTATCCAGTATAGAACCTGATGTCGCACATGGACGGTGTCAGCTCTCTTAATCACCGCTGCAATAAGAGCGCTCGACGGTATGAGCGACATGTTAACTAAAGACGAGTGAACATACAGGGTGTCCCACTGAAATGTCACCTCCCTTTATCCTCGTAATTTTGAACATATTTTGATCATTCAAAATCTCTTCTGGTGTGATTTTTCACGATATTTTTAATCTGTGCTCACCTTTTCTTTATATCAATAAAATACAGACGATGAGATTCAGACTTCTTGGGTTGCTGATGTTTGTATTTTTTAATACGCGCGTTTTCGAAAATTGGATTTCAACACGCTGAGGCGTCCTTTGAATAAGCAAAATAGTGTAACTACAATGATTGCTATCTGCATGCGAACATCGACTAATCGAGGATCGAAGAGTTGAAATAGTAGTTGTGCGTTGTTGCCAATTCATGACGCCTGAATATAAATTTATTGAAACAGTACATGAGTCATGGTCTTTTGGAAAAGGTCTTGCAGCCGTCACTCCGTCAGTACAACCGATTTATGATATCTTTGTGCTATTTGGGTTGGATGATCCCCAGTTTATGTGAGAATTTCAAAATTGAAATAAATTAACGAGCCAATTATAGTCATATATTTTCCATTATTTACATATAGTAGTTATGTAATATGTACAAACATTGTATATTATGAATTTTTATTATCGAAACCCTTACAACACCCAGAAATATAAAATGAATATAAACAAAAATATTCCACCTACAGCGGCTTTCACATACATTGATTTTTTATTCAAATACGTTGCATCTTTTTTATATTTCTCAGTCAGCATAGATAGGCTTTGTGTTTTCATATCCAATTCTGAAAAAAAAAACAATGCATACGATGTTAAACAAAAAACATGCAACTACGAAATAGCCACAATGCTCAAAGTGGAATTAAAGGTTAAATAAATACAAAGAGCTCAAAATGGAAATGACTTTGAGCTTTTTGTATTTATTTAAAAAACATTCAGTGATGACACTTTAGGTACTACCTAGTGAAAAATGTATCCATATCAGACTCTCAGTTGGTGATGAAAGAATGAGTTTGAACAGGTCGCGGGATAATACGTCGTGTGATTACATATGGTTCATTGCGAATATTACCTACAAAGAAAAAAAAATGCAACAGCTGTGGATCATGAAGTGAAATGTTAGAATTTATGTGTTTGCTGTTCGACTATGATTCCAAATGATTGAGTTATATTACTTCTTCTTAAAAACATTGAAATTGTGATCAGAAAGATCCTCTTCTAATATAAGTTTAGCGTAGGGACCTACGTTGAATTTGTTTCCTTCTGTGAAAAACACATTTGAAGTTCATGAAAGCGGTAGTTAACCCATTAACCGCCGAGCAGTCAATGAGGGCCGGGTTGAATATAGAAAAAAATGTATTATTTGAGTTATCAGGTCTCATATGAAAAAATATATATACATAGGGTGTGACAAAAAGAATAATGTAACAATGGCCAAATCTGGTGTGACATTTTATATTTTCAAGAATGAATAATTTTCAGAAGTTGAATTGAATTATAAATTATGAAATCGAAGAAAACAATTAGAATGTAAGTGTACTTTACATTTTACACACATATTCTCTTCTTCATTGATACATTTCATACAAATAATATATAAAGTATAATTAATTTTCTAGTAGGAATGACATGAATGATCAGACAGTAATTCCTGGTATAAGATCATTCATGAAGTAATGTTTACATTTAATGTTTACATTTACATTTACATTTTTACATTTGAATTCAATGTTTACATTTTACATTTGAAAATAGTGCATATTAATTCTGAAAATCCTCCTACTTAACAATATAAACCATAAGAAACATTGTTCATTAAGAACAATGACACCGGACAAAAACAGTGCCCGATAAATCCTTGAAGGATTTGTGTGAGCACATTCCAATAATAAATTTTCATGTTTTAGGTACCATGTACAATTTATATTATTATTTTATTATTCCTAGCAATTTTTGAAGAATTCCGACGGATTTGAAATGTTCTACAACATCACAAGTCTACAATTTCATCTGGGTATGATAATAATAGTATACAACTATACTAGTAGTTGAAGATGCTGGCAAAGGAATGTATACCTCTGGCAGATCCATTCTGATAAATCCTTGGCTATACTTTTGAATTGTCTATTCTTAAAATTTTGTGGTAGTATATTTATGATTTTGGGTGCTGTTACCCTTAAGAAACGAGTATTGTTAATATTAATTATGCTCCCATTCAATGACAGGTCTGATTTCCCATATATTAAAGTTCCATCACATTTATTGAGAACTTTCGTTGTAGAACATTTCATATCCGTTAATTCCAAAGTTTTTTATATCCTGAATCAAATGTGTCTCAGACATAATTATAATGTCAAAAACTGTACACAAGTCCTCAAGGAATACTATAAAATTATCAAAATTTTTCATTAAGCTTCTAATATTTACATGAATTAAGTTTAAACTACTTTCAGACTTATTGAAAAAAGAGGTTTCACAGAGCCTATCACAGATTGTTGTGTCCTCACATAAGTAGTCATCTAGGATACTATTTGGGTCCATAATAATGTTCAATCCAGTTAATTGACCTTAGCAACCCACATGGATTTACATTAGCCTTGGTTTTGTTGCTTACTTTCCAGTATCTCTTCCACTTCATCCAAATTTCTGATTCGGATGGCACGCTCACCTTCTTTAAGCCTGGCATAGATGTAACCATTTCGCTGCCAGACAAATCGATAACCAATCTCCTTGAGTCTCATGGAACTTTTATATAGGTTGTATGTCATGTGAGTCATTTCTTCATTGAGAAAGATGCTTTGATTACCATTATTGATTTTACAGTTGTCCCCATTAAGTTTACCTTTCAGACTCCTTTGTTTCATGATAGCAGCTTTACGTTCATTGGTATCAATAGTTACAGTCACCAGACATTTGTTGGTTTTAGTATTATTGATCACTTTGATGCCTTTAATATGTTCACGAGAGAAAGATGCATCCACACTGGATAGTACTTGGCATGCCTTTAATTTGACCGTTTGCAGATCCTCTTTCCCATCATTGCAAATGCCAGCGATGATTATATTGTTTTTATCATTTCCGATTCCTTAACGTTTATATAGGTTTTAACATAGTCCAGATCCTTCTTGAGGGCGAAATTTTCCTTCTTCATTTTATCAAAGAGAACTGCCATAAGTTTGTTTCGTTGTTTTTCCTCCTCATACATTTCATTTAGGAACTTCAAGGAATTTTTCATCTCCGACAACTCGGATTTTATTTCGAGGTTAGTATTTCTCATTTCAAGAATTAAACTTCTAAGTGAACCCATTTCATCATGTTTGTTGGTATTAGCCTCCATGCTGTTAGAGTCAGAGGAACCAAAGTTGTGTTGTGGCTGAGTACTAATTGCGGTATGGTTGGGTGCTCTGTGACTATACTGCAACGCCGAAGAAGACAGACCTAACCCAAAATTCTTATGGTCATGCTTGCAGTCATTACAAAACCATGATTTCTTGTTTAGGCTGATTAACTGCACTTCGATTTCAGATACTAATGCACACTCTGGATGAAACCAACCTTTACAGGTACCACAGTTAAGTTTATAAGACGATTTCGCAATATTTTTCTTACACTCTTTGCACTCAACTTTACCACCCGCCATTTTCTTCTTCTTATCCTGTTCTCATGAAAACTGTCTGACTTTTACACAGTCTGCAACGCTTCTTTGCCTTTTCAGGATGACGAGAAATGATATGTTCAACTTTGTCCCTCCTGATTTCATCGGGTAACTCGGTTCGAGTTGGTCTTCCTCTGCCCTGATTGATTATGCGCGTCTCTTCAGTTTCATCATCAGAATCTTGTGCGGTTTCCTCAGTTTTCATTAGAGCCATAACTAAATACGATCTGACTTGGAGTTGTGTCATTTTGGAGTTTGTCAGTTTACATAACTTCCAAACGTTTACAATAACATTATCCAGACTATTTATAAATAGAGGCCACCACCACTTCTTTCCACGAACTCTGATACGATAATTCGCAATTCCATTATCATGGAGGTCAACGCCACCCATATATTTATTTTACTCTTTTATCACTAACGGTTGTGGTATATTTATTTCCTTTTTTTGTTTTCTGTCATAACGTTTCACAGGTTGGACTGGATCTATAGAAATGTTATTAGTAATGAGGGTCACAACGGAGTTATCGTTCCATCTTACCACACACAACTTTGATTTCGAATCAAATCTGTAGTCGAAAGATCCTCTCTCTTTCTTTTTGATGATGTTCGTTGACTCTAGAGTACAATTCGAAATCCGGTTATCTCGAATCGTTCCAGTTGCGAATATGTTTTTTTCGCCGAGGAAGGATAAGAGCTTATAAGACGAGAAGAAATTATCGAAGAATACTCTGTGTGAGGAAGGATGTTCAACAACGTTCATCAAACTGATAACAACATCTGCTCCAAGACCCATTTCTGTTTTTTCCTTTCTTGCTCCACCATATGGCATAAACTGGAATAAATATCCATCTTCTGAACAGAGGCACCATAGTTTGAATCCAAAACGGACAGGCTTTCCCTTTATGAACATTTTTGGCGAATGCCTACCGAAGTATGGAACCATTTCTTCGTCAATTGAAAGGTTTCTTATTTATATCATCAAATAATGGACGCAATTTGGCAAATTTTTCGTTTTTGTCCAGCTGAGCATTATCACACAGATGCAGGTCCCTTTTTATATTCCGGAATTTGTTTCTACTCATACAGTTCTTCACAAGTGCTACTCCTTTATCTTCATCTCTGCTCCAATACATTTCTAACTGGGGGAGAGTGTGATAACCAGAAAAAATCAAGATTCCTATGAATCTTTTCAAGTCCATGATAGTGAGAGAGAAATCATGTCTGTTATTATCTTTAGCATATTTTTCAGAGAATTCCTTGATTTCTTCCAGTAATTCCGAATCGAAAAACATGAAGAATATATCCAAAGGTGATTTATCGGCTAATATTTCTATTATTTTCTTTTTCTCAACTTCCTCATTCGATGCTGGTAGCTTATCATATTCTGGATATTCTTTCTTCCACATTGGAGTGAATACAGTACTTTTTTTAGTACGTTTACTTGTAGATGGCCCAACATCGGAATCAAAACAGACAGTATCGGACTCAGCATTTTCCCTGTCTGGGATCAATAATTCGAAAGTACCAGCTACATCTCGGGGCAAGAAATTTCCTAAACAATAGATCCATGTTTAGTGATCTATTCCAGTATTATAACATCTGAACTCACCTAGCAGAATATTATCATCTATATCTTCTTCGTCGGTGAGCTCATCAACAGTTGGAGGTATAATAACAGCATCAACTTCACTTCCCGGTTCCAAATTTTCTAATTCATCTTCTAATTCTTGAAGAGTCAGAGCACGATGCAGATCATGATTCCGCCACATATTTCACATTAGGTTATGATATATCCCTCTTGAAACAACAACAGCAACTAATTCAGTTGCCGTCCTCAATGTCCCAGGTAACACGGAACTCTTCGCGATATCTCAGGATCAAAATGCGAAATCCTCCTGCGAGGTGCCGAAGATCACTATAGGCTGTCATCATGGGAAATACTCTCTGAAGTCGTCCGAAAGAAATCGCAGAGATCTTGCCTCAGATTTGAAATATTCCTCATTATTGCGAATCCTTGAGGTTATCTATAACAGGAAATGAATAGGCATTTCTTTCTGCGAGCACCAGGATATCCTGGACGTAACAAGATCGAGCATTTCCCATTGCGAGCTCCTATAGTAATCACAA